TTGATACCCTACCTATGTATACCCTTCTGTAAGTCATTGAAACCCTACCTATGTATACCCTTTTGAAAGTCAGTGATAACCTACCTATTTATACCCCTGCGTATATCATTGATACCCTACCTATATCTTACCCCTGTGTAAGTCATTGATACCCTACCTATGTATACCCCTGTGAAAATCATTGATACACTACCTATTTATTCCCCTAATTAGATATCGATATGTAAGTCATTGACACCCTACCTATGTATACCCCTGTGTAAGTCATTAATACCCTACGTATGTAAACCCATGTGAACAAGAGTGATACCCTACCTATGTATACCCTTGTGTAAGTCATTGAAACCCTACCTATGTATACCCTTTTGTAAGTCAGTGATAACCTACCTATTTACACTCCTGTGGAAATCATTGATACCCTACCTATGCATACATATGTGTAAGCCACTGATATCCTACCTATGTATACCACTGTGAAAGTCATTGATATAACCTATGTTTACCTCTGTGTAAGTCATTGATAACCGATCTATGTATACACATGTGTAAGTCATTGATACCCTATCTATGCATACATATGTGTAAGTCATTGATGCCCTACCTATGTATACCCCTGTGTTAGTCATTGATACCATACCTATGTATACCCCTGTGTTAGTCATTGATACCCTATCTATGTATACACATGTGTNCCTACCTATGCATACCTCTGTGTAAGTCAATGATACCCTACATATGTATACCCCTGTGTAAATCATTGATACATTACCTATTTATTCCACTATTTAGATATGTAAGTCATTGATCCCTACCTATGTATACCCCTGTGTAAATCATTGATACCCTACCTATTTATACCCATGGCTAGGTCAGTGATAACCTACCTATTTATACTCCTGTGTAAATTATTGATACCCTACCCATACATACATCTGTGTAAGTCATTGATACCCTACCTATGCATACATATGTGTAAGTCATTGATACCCTATCTATGTATACACATGTGTAAGTCATTGATACCCTACCTATGCATACATATGTGTAAATCATTGATACCCTA